GAATTATTTTCGAAATTTAACTTTTTGTTAATAAATACATAATTTAATTAAATAAATAATATAATTTAAACAAGCAAACAAAAATTTAAATTTTTGTTTCCTTATTTAAATTTTTTAAATAATTTAGTTAAGATTTCTCAACATCTATAACAGAGCGCATATTTTCTGCTGGTGGAAATATACTGTCCTACCAGCTGAGAACATGCCTTGCTCTTTTGTTATAATTTTGCTATTAAACATAATGTTTTATTATCAGAATAATTTAATAATTTCTTCTCTCATCAAATAACTTTGTTAACTGATCTTCAATTAGGGAGGACCGGGGCTAGTTGGCCGCATGGGTAAGAGCCTTTTATCATAAAGCGAAAAAATTACACAGAACTTTCCTAATTGACCATTTTATCATTCACTGTAGTATTGTCAGGATTCGTGCATGCGCATGGGAGATGTTGAGATTTTGTGTTTCTCGGACAAAAACGTAACTTATGGAACATCGGTTCCTTTTTACTTTACAAAAAAAAATAATCAGTCAAATGAAAAAAAATATATTGTAAAAGTTCCAGTCACAATTGGTTTACTAGTTAATATTAAAAATCTTTTTATTAATTTTGCACTTAATTGTACATTAATAATCATTTTTATAGTTTGCGCCAACTTACCCAGTGGTGGTACCCAGTTGGCGCAATTTTTTCTTTTTTTTTTGAGGGCTTGGTAAGGCCTTAAGAATTTTTTTTTTTTGTAAATGAATGCAAATTTTATAAGTTAACCAAATTCTTACTCTTTGAGACTACACTTTAATATTTTCAAAAAAATGTGCCGCAAAGGCTACAGAGCTCATAGAGTAAAAACCAAGCCAAGTGAGAAAACTAAAAATAATTTATTTAAATGGAGAAAAGTAAGAAAACTAAAATTAATTTATTTAAATAAACTGAGAAAGTAAGAAAACTAAAAATAATTTATTTAAATAAACTGAGAAAGTAAGAAAACTAAAAATCATTTATTTAAATAAACTTTTTTTTTAATGCAGTAGAGTAACAGAGAGTTTTCTGTTTTTGACAATTTTTGAAAATTTAGAAATTTTAAAAACTTGGAAAAATCTTTAATACTTTTTTTATCCTTTTATTTTCTAAACTGAGAACAAGTTTATTGCTCAATAGTGTAAATGAAAATAATCTAAATATTCTTATTTTATGAATAAAATAACACTGCGTTGCAAAGTTGTTTAGTAAGTTTTAATAAATATGTTAATGCATTGTTTTTAAAATATTGTTTACTACTTCCTATCCTACTTTTTTTAAATTTTATTTTTGTAACTACAACAAAAATTTTATTTGTCAGTTTTATTTCTCAGAGATAGAAATAATATTAGTTTACCATTTTATGAATAACATTGCATAAAGTTATAACGGTAATAAAAAACTTTATACCTTTTTGAGATCTATTTTAAAACAAAAGCATATTATTAGTGATATGATCTAATGATATAGTTTTTTAAATATTTATATGTACAAGTTTATCATAAGTTATATTGACAGTAAATTTAAGTCGTACTGTCGGGACCAGCTAAAGTATGAGTAGTAAAAAAGCCGGCTGATTATAATTTTTATTATTTTTCATTGTTAAACGGAATCATTCTCGCATAGTAGCGTTGATTACAAAGAACCAAATATAAAGTGTATTTGCGGTAGTAATAAGTTTTACGAACTTCGGGTTTACTTATTAGTTTGCGTAATTTGAATGTGACCTCAAGTGTAAATATAATTGTTTTTTAAAACGAAACTTGATATATTTAGAGTAAATAGCCAGGTTTTTTTTAAAAAAGCAATTTAGCGCTAGAGATTTTACAAGATTTTATTCCAACATTTTAATATTGATCCGGTGCTGGGTACCCGGAATCGGGAACTCAGCATCTGCAAACTGGTTCCGGTACATCTTTATTTTGCACTGTTTTCTTTTGTATCTGCTTCATAGACATAATGATTTTTCTTGAAACAAACAAAAAAATTCTCTTAGATGATTAATAAGTTTTATATAAACTTATATATAAGAAACTTATTGAATCATTTAATAATCTTTTTGGTGAGTTTAAGATTTCCGCAAATGTTTTTGTAAAAAAAAAAAGTATATTTATACTGATACTAATTGAATATGAGATATTTTGAATAAGATAAAGTATTTTAATTAACACTTTACATAGAAAAGAAGTAGTAATTCACAAATAAAACGCTATAATCTAAACTAGATAAAGGAAACAAATTAGTAAAATTTATATTGCATAATAAAAGTAAAGTTCTAGAAATATTATTTAATGACACTCGAATATCAGATTAATAAAGTATATTAAATATGGACAAAATAATTAAGGGGCCATCCATAAAAGACGTCATCCAAATAGGGGTGGGGGGGAGGAGGTCGAGTTAAAAAGAACATAAAAGGACAAGGGGAGGGGGGAGGTTGTCAGAAAAGGACGTCACTTTATAGATTTTTTATTTTAGTTTAATTAACATGGAAAACTACGTAAACATGTGTTTTTAAGAAGATAATGTATGAAAATATTTTTAATTTTATTTTTCAAAGGTGTAGCAGCAGATTCAAACATCATTGCGAGTTAAGATAAATTTTTTTGGAGTTAAAAATAGGGGGGGGGGGTTCAGGATTTTATGACGTCCTTTTCAAGGAGGGTATAGGGAAAAAGGACAACCGGTGACAAAGGGAAGGGAAAGGGGGTCAAAAATTGGCTAAAAAAATGGTGACGTTCTTTATGGAAGGCCCCTAATTTTATTGACTAACAACCCGTATTACGGGTTTGCTTACTGCTAGTGTTAAAAAAGACTATAAAAAGTTGTTTTAAAAAATATGAATTTTACGTATTTCAACATGAGTTTTTTTAGTTCTTTAATTATTAAGTAATTTGCATAAAGTTAAAAAATTAAACCAGAGTCATAACATGAAATAAATAACAAAAGGTATAGAAGTTTGTTAATCAAAATAAAAGGCAAAACGTCTCCTTTTTTTAGATAGCTCTGCATTTAAATGGTTCTAAAAAAAAAAAAAAAAAAATGTTGCGTCATGGTTTTAAAAGTCAGATATAACATAATACTTCATACTTATCTCAGAAGTTAACTTTGCTTTTTAGGTTCTATGTAATGTTTCTATATAAAAATTCTACTAAAATCCATTTGTTTTAAAAATTATTTAAAACTTTATTCTTTGAGTATTTTAGGTCTGCTTTTTATAACTTGACTGTTACCGTATTCAATACTTATATTTATTCAATATTATTCTATACTTATATATATATATATATATATATATATATATATATATATATATATATATATATATATATATATATATATATATATATATATATATATATATATATATATATCATATATTTTTTAAAAAACTTTATCACTTATCCCATTAGATTTTAAAATCCCTTTTACAAAAAATAACAAATGTAGGAAGCCAAAATATAAAAATAAATCAATAAAAGTTAAAAGAAAAAGTAATTAAAAATAAAATCGAAATTTACTATTAAAAAAGTTTCTGTGATGGCTTTTTTCTCCATTTACAAGTTTATTTTATAAAAAATTAAATAAATTTTTTTACAAAACATCCAAAGATTTATAGGGTGAGTGAGGCATCGTGAAACATGAGGCACCATGATGCAATGTAATTGTAAAGCCATCTAAAGAGTGGTGACAACCAATTTCATATGGTACAACAGTTACTACTGGGGCTATTTTTGACTAAAAAGTTGTATTATTTGATATCATTAAACCTGCAATGGATAGAACTTGGTTTTTATGATTTAATGGCAATGTAATTTATTACTTTTTAAAGTTGCTAATTTTTAATACATGTTATTCAATGCGTCAATCGGCACGTAACTTCATATGATAAACTATAATCCATAGGATCTAACTTCATTTAATAAAACTAATAAAAAAATAAGTTGAAGCGATTGTTTTGTATAAGTATGGAGTAACCTAATATAGCATTAGTAGGAGCCTTTAAACTGTAGAACAGTACTCTGTTGTGTCATAGACAATTCAAAAAATTATTTATTCTAAAATTTACAGTCAATGTTTAAGAAGCTTATTTAAATATAACACTTAGAGATAAAATTATGATACATATTATATGATATGCCTCAATAAAAAATAGCTTAGTCGTAAGCTATTTTTTATTGAGGCATCAGAATGACATTTAAAACAATATATTAAGGCATAAGAATGACATTTAAAATTTTTTAATGTCATTCACATTAGGTTTTAATTAATAACTTGTTTTTCTTTCAAGTAAAAATTTGTGTTTTCTTTGAGTTTTATACTTTTTATTTACTTTTTAAATGATGCTTATAAATGATGCTTACTCATAAAACCTTTTGGGTTTATGAGTACTGTAAGTACTCGACACAATTTTCTAATTTTATTTTAAATAGTCTCACAAGTTTAACCTGTTATATTTTGGTAGTTATTAATTAAATTATTAAATTTAATTTTCTAAGTTTTATTCTAGAAATAAAACAAGTTGGCTAAAATAAAAAAACTCTATCCTCTTTATTATAGCTTTTAAGGATAACTTTACTTGATTTTTTTTTTTAATATGTAATTATTTATTAGAAGGAAAGACTAAATTATTATAACATGCAAAAACAAATATAAATATAATATTTCGACTGTAAAAAAAAACAATGCAATGTTAACATGCCCAACTTATGCAACCTTTTCCCCTAATTGTTTTACGCAACAACAACAACAACAACAACAACAACAACAACAACAACAACAACAACAACAACAACAGCAACAACAACAGCAACAACAACAACAACAACAACAACAGTTTGTTATTTAAATTTATTAAGTCAAATCTCAAAACAATATTATAATTATTTTTTTAAAATACAAAATTTTTAAAAAATAAGTTGCAGAAAGATATAATTAGTTTTGTTAAAATATTAGAATTTTTACTATGTTTTGCCTTTATTCAAAAAGTAATTAAAGCTACTGCAATTTTAGGACTCTAAACTGGGTAAGTCAATAAAAACACTGGGTAATTTGAGCATCCTTATTTTACACAAAAATAGTACGTTTAAACATAGTCAAAACTAAATGTTTCTATGCATTTTTTTCAAACACAAGCGCTACGAATTTCTGGCTAACATATTTTGCTTTATGAAAAATTAAATTTTAATTTTTATTAAATTTTAGCACAGAAGTTTTTCGCCATGGATTTATAAAGCGTGATAATAATAAAATATTTTAAAAAAGAAAAAATTAAATAGCGTTTTCATTAGATGATAGCCGCTAATTATACTAATTTCTGTTATCATCACAGAAATTCGTTTCAAAAAAGAAAAAGTAATTTTAACTTCACTGCTTACATCTTTTGCAATGCAGTGTTTACAAATATATCGAATTTATAGTAAGTTATTAAATTATTATTTACCAACTCTTTTCCCCAAAAGGGTGACAAATTCTTGTTAACAGTTCTTGTTAACAGTTAACTAGTATTTGTAATATCTTACAAATATTATTATTTATCAAATTACAAATATTATTAATTATATTATTAATTATCATTAATAAGAACTTGCAAGATAATAAAACAGAAGTCAAGTTCTTGTTAACAGTTAACTAGTATTTGTAAGATAATGAATATATTAAACAAACTGATTTTTCAATTGAAAAGAGCTTTTTGGAGAAAACATTAACTGTTTGGTTTTTTTTTTAGTTTTCTCCGGTTTTAAACAACGCAAGCCAGAACATTTTTGACCGAATTTGAATTCCTGACAGGCTTTTCGTCAATGGAAACATAAATTTTTTTAAATAACTGCAATTTCAAGTAACTTGCGGATGTTTGGGTGCGTATGTAAAAAACTCTAACTACAGGGAATATAAATCGCTTCAAATACGCTTTCAGTCAAAGGAATTTTTTAATCTTTGGATCGTCCATAAATTACGTAACGCGAAATTTAACTAATAAACAAAAGAAAAAGTGTTAAAGGTTTTCCCGTCTTTAATTAAACCATGTATAAACAACCCTTCAAGTCCAGCGAAAGCCGCCGCTCAAAAAGAGAAAAGTGAGATTCCTTCTCAGTAGGCACGAGACGTAAAAAGAAAACATTTAAACGTCTTTTGGATGTTTTGGACGTCTTTTAGACGTTTAAAAACGTCGTTTTTAGGTCCTGTGCTCACTGAGTTGAGAGTATTTAATCATTAAAAATTGTACTAAGAAGGCATAAACTAAGATTTAGATTAAAGAGTTTAAAGCTAAACTTAAACAGCTAATACAGCTAAGAACTAATTTTTACTAATAAATACGAAATTTTTTTACTAATAAGTAACTAAATTTTTACTAATAAGTACTATTTTATATGTTATATTTTAAATAACTTTACCAATTTTACGTTTGTTTATTTTATATTGTCAACGGAAGTGCCTATTTTTATTTTAAATGAAACTTTATATTTACGGAATTTATCAAGGGGCTTGGCGATAAGACATATTATTCTTCTTCTCTCCCCTGCTACATATATATCTTGTTATTTACATACGGTTTGTATATATTAACATTGCAAAAATAAAAAAAGATAATATGAAAGTAGCTTTATGATAAAGTCAGTGGCTCTGCAATAAGTTATAAAACAAGATAAAGCAAAAAAAAAAAGACAATACAAAAGTAGTGGCTTTAACCCCCTACCTTTATATTGTCTAGTTTTATATAATAAAATTTATCCATAAATCATTATCTACTTATTTTATATTAGAAATTTAACGTAATCAAGTCTTAGTGATATATATAGAAGACAGCAAATATAATTTAGAAACCAACGAAGCGTTTTTTGCAATCTAAAAATTGATGCTACTGCAGCGTCTTTTTAAAGATTTTGTTAAAAAGATGTTAATGTTGTTGTCTGAAATATAGCATTTAAAAATTAAATAATAAACTTAAAAAATTAAAGTTAAATACTATGATTGTGCAATATCTGAAAAATGTTTTTTTCTTGACTATCCATATAGTCCAAAATAAAACAAATACAAATAAGCAATATTAGTATTAAATGAAAGAAGTAATTAAATTAAATTATTATTAATTTAATTATAATTTAATTTAAATTTAATAATTTAAATTTAATTTTATTATAATTTAATTATAATATAATTAATTTAATTATAAATTAAATAATATTAAATTAAAAGAAGTAATTAATTTAAAAAATTACACCAGGATTTATCAGATATAACTTCTAGACATGGAGCAAACTCCAAACATTAGTATATTTCTACTTATGTCAAATATTGGGGCTGTGCATAAAATCCCCCCATACCCCCCCCCACCCCCCAAACATGTGGGACAACAAGTTGGTATAAAAATTTTTTTTACTAATCTCAGTTAGACTTATATTCATTCATAGTATTATCTCTCAGCGTTTTAAAAATATGACCGTATAAAACTTGTAACTTTATATGGTCATAATTTTCGAACGTTGAGAGATACTATCAAACTTGATATCATAAAAACTAATATCATATAAAAGGGGAGGTCGTCCAAAAATTGACAGAGTTTGACAAAGGGGGGAGGTCAAAAATTAGGAAAAAATTACTGACATCATTTATGGACAGCCCCTAAGAATAAACACACTAATGTTTGTTCTTAAATACAGCAAGTGTGATTGACGCACTGAAACATCTGTTTGCAAAAATAAATTATTTTTTTATAGTTCTTTTTGAACTTCAAAAGAAGTTCAAAAAAACTATAAAAATGTTTCAGTGCGTTTATTCTTTTAACTAAAATAGGTTTAAAAATAAATGTAAAAAAATACCTTCAAACTGAAGGTATTTTTTTACTTTTGTTTTTAAACCAATTTAAGTTATAAGAATAAACTACTTCTACCGGTAATTCATTTCAGGAAATAATTTTGTAATTATGGAGATCAATTTGTAATTCAGGTGATAATTTTGTCAAGAAGCACTTTTAGTAAATTCAGCTCGGTATCTTAAGTTGTGTCCACGTGTCTAAATTTGATTTTTTTTTTTGTATATTTATTTGTTCTAATAAATCGTATTCATGTAAAGTTAGATTTACACTATCTTTTTTATTAATGATTTTACAAATTTTTATAAAGTTAAAAAGTTTGTTAAATATTTTTAAAAGTTAAAAATTTTCTTAAATATTTTTTTTCATGTGACTTTGACTAAACATCTATTTATTTGCATAACTAAAGGTACGCTTTATCATACCAAGTGCTCGATTCGCCTTAAACGCAGAGCTAATTGCGACCTAAGATTGGCCGAAAAACAAATATCTTTTTTTTTTTCACATATAGACTTTTCGAAAGTTATTAAATTGTCATTATTCATATTAGGTATGAAGTATTAGTGCTTCGGATTGTTTTTCTCAATATGCAGAGCATGACACTTTTTACAGTTACTCATGGTAAGTAGTTTTTGAGCATTCAAATACCTTGAAAAAGTCACCTTAAAGAGCTGGTAAAGAGTTGTTGTTCAGAAATTCAGATGTGTTAGCTGTTCTTTATAATAAGTTTTATAGAATAATAATGTTCAACTTTCAGGATACAAAAGTTAACAGAAATCAAATTTAAGTAATATCTTACTTAAATGTGATTTCTGTTAACTTTTGTATCCTTCTGTAATAATTTGAAAAGGTTGGACTAAATTTCAATTTTAACAAAAATTTTAAATCTTTATCTTTATTTAAAAGTATTATTATAAGAAAAGAATAAAAAATTATGTATCACCTTAAAATATGTTTTTTTTTGGTACATATTTATAAATGGTAAATCACAGCAAATCATTTTATAATTAATTTATACAATTTGATTAAAATGAAGGTCATTTTTATTAAAAGAAAGGGAATAAAATCACAAATTGAGACATTTAAAAGGATAAAAATGTTATTGGGCGGCATCAAAACTCATATCGAATTTAACTAAGAAGACTTGAATTTCAGGCAATTTTTTTTGAATGTAATTTTTATTAGTTTCTGTATGTTTCAGATACAGAAACTAATAAAAATTACATTTAAAAAAATTATTTCTCTAAAAAGTAGTTTTTTCTCAACATTTTTATGGGAAGAAATGTACTTTTTTAATATATTTTCCTTTTTACTCTAAAAGTCTCATTAATATTATAATAATTGATATAAAATAACTGGAAGTTTACAGCCATGGTTTGAGAAATAAATTAAATAAAAAAAAGATCCGTCAAAATAAAAATATTTTTGCAAAATATTTTTTTTCAAAAATATTTTTGAAAAAAAAAATTTTGCTAAAATGTGTATATTTTGCAAATTATATGCATGATCAGAACATTTTTATATGCAATATTCGCAAATTTGGAACTGTTGATCACTCGTGATTATTTTCGGAAAAAAATTAGAGTATATGTATAAGACAATTAATTTGATATTTTTAGTAAAAATTGCTATTTTATTTATTGTAAGATATTAAAAATACATCAATTTATTAAATGTTGTAGCTAATTTGTATAATAAAACAACATTTTCTATCTTAAAATATATATGCAAAAAAAAACTGCAAAAGCATCATTTTTAAAATTGCAAAAAACACATCAACGGTTTTTAAAGTTTGCTATAAATATATTTATGGTAAATAAATTTATTTAAACTCTTTTGTCTGTAAAAATAAAGTTTAAGTATATTTTTTTATTTTATTTTTACAGACAATATAGGCAAAGAGTTTAAATATTGGAGTTTAAATTTTTAACTCTAATATTTAAACTCTTTGTTAAAAAGTTTTAAATATTTCATTAAAATTATTTTTTTAACTGTTTTCGTATTTTTTTTAAGTAGTCAATTCTCAGTCTAAAAATTCTCTGTATCACACATAAGTTAGCAGGGTCTGACTCGCTCTAAGGGGCCCGGGGGAGGGGGAAAGATAAATAGGGCCCTAATACGTTGCAAAAAACAGTAACACGCAAGGGCCCGGGTGCGAAAGTATCACCCAAAACCAGAAGAAGAAATGCCACCTCGCCAGTCAGACCCTTTTAGTGTTAGTACAACATTAGTAACAGTGTTAGTAACCGATTAATCAAAAATCTTAAATACCAATTTTTTTTGAAGTTTTTAAAAGTACCCAACATATGTTATATTATTAAAATGCGACAAAAAATCAATTTAGTTGGATATTATAGGAAGAAAAAAAAAAATTTTTTTGTTCTGTATGCTTATACTATTTATACTATTTATACTATTTTGCATCTTTACACTATAATGTGCAACGCAAAAATTTTAAAATTTTTTTTATTATAAAATTTTTTATTTTAAAATTATTTAAGCTTGATTTTACGTAGTCATTGCATAACAAATCAAACCCATAATAAAAACTCAAAATGCAATAATAGAAAAAAAACGTAAACTTGTAAATAATGTTTACAGAAATACCAACATCTTGAATAATATACGCTTTGAAGCAGTACAATACAGAGACAATTCTAGGAATAAAAAATGGAAGGCGGAGGGGGGGGAGGCGATACTTACAAAGTACTGACTGACTCCATTAAAAAAATGTCCTCAAAACTAAAATTTATCAAACTGAATGCTGTCAAATATCCGAAAAATTCGTAAAAAACTGACTTTAACTTAAAAATCACCGTCATTTTCATTCATCATATTGAGCATTTTATTTATACAATATTTGTTAAAATGTGTAGTTATTACTTGAATAATCTTTTATTAGATACTGTCTTTATTTAAATATAGATTTAAAATAACGTATCATACAAAAAATATGCTTAAGCTTAAGTATATTTGTAAACCTCCTGAAAAATTATAGTAGGATTCCCCAGATTTGTCCTTCTTTTTTTTTAATTAAATGATATGTCCGCGGAAATTTCTTCAATTAGCCACAAATATCCGGGGTTTTACTTGAAACTTAACC